AAAAAAAAAACCGACTTCAACTCTCATATAAAAAAATATTTATATATACAGGGTGTCCCAGAAGTAACGTGCCAAACTTTAGGGGAAGGTAGGTGGGCAGGTGAGCTCACTGATAAACAAAAAATTTTCAGGTAAAAGTGTCACCGTTTTTGAAATATTTACATTTTTTCGAATTTAAAAAAAATCGTGCCTTTTCATGTGTTTTCTTTAACTGCAACTACAAACCGGGCAATACTTAGTAAATTTTTTATGTAAAATACTTCCAGATAGTTGCCTCTCCATACTCAAATGCAATGTAGTTAAAATATATTAAGGAACCATCATAAAATTAGGACTATTTCTGGATTTTTATCTTTTTGATATTTTCTTCCCCAACTTTGACTATCTCGGGTGAAAAAAAAATGTACTGAGCTATAACTTTACATTACATAAAAAAATTGCTCATTTAATAATGATGAACTCTGCGCTTCAAGAGAGCTCGAAAGTAAAGACCTGACTTCAATAAAAAAGAAGTACAAAAGCACATACTTTAGTTTTTTGCGGTGCCAAGCAGCAATGGCTGAACTTTTAGAGCAACTTGCAAAGACTGAAAAAGAAAGTGAGTATATGTCTGGTCGCGAGCTCAATATTCATCTGCCTCCGTGTGATACGGATATATTCAAAGGGGATTACCTTTCATGGCCGTCATTTAGGGATATGTTTACGGCCATATATATCCTTAATAAGCGCCTGACCCCTGTTGAGAAGCTGTACCACCTTAGGCAAAAAACGCAAGGGGAGGCCAAAGAAATTGTACAAAGGTGTCAGTTGACCAATGATGGTTTTCAAACCGCTTGGAAAAATCTATGCGACAGATACGAAAACAAACGTATTCTGGTCAATAGTCAATTAAGGATTTTATTTAATTTGAAAGCAGTTGAGAGTGAATGCGGTAGCTCCATTAAGAAGCTGCAACGTGATATCAACAACTGCATCTCGGCGCTTCAATGTCACCAGATTGACATTTCCAGCTGGGATGCGATATTCACGTATCTGTGCTCGACAAAACTGCCAGAACATACACTGGCACTATGGGAGCAAACCATAGAGGAAAGAACGGAAGTATCAAAATGGGAGGACATGGATAATTTCTTATCAAGTAGGTTTCAGACCCTGGAGACAGTAAAGGGCATTAGGGAGAGCAAGCCAAATAAAGCCCCTAAGCCACAAAACATACGTCAGTCTTCAGAATGGACTCCAAAAAGGCTTGGCGCTTTCCAAGCCAGCGTGGAAAAACCCACTTGCAAAATGTGCCATAGCCATGAGTACAGGCTAAAAAGGTTTGACAAATTTCACAATTTAACACCACTAAAGCGGCTCGAATTTATTAAGAGCATCCACAGTTGCTTGAATTGCTTGTCAGCCGGACATACGGTCACTAAATGTACCAGTCCGTTTAATTGCAGTATGTGTCATTCAAGACATCACACGTTGCTGCATATGCAAGCAACTCAGCCAAAAGCAACAGCTCTTAATGCACCTCCAAGCCCGTCCGACGATATAGCCTCTACTTCTGAGCAAGCAAGAAGGCGAGAAGCTGCGAAAAAGAATAAAGCAGTTAATAAAGTTAATTCATGTCATGCAAACTCAAATAAAGGAGTACTATTAGGAACGGCACGGGTCAACATTCATCATAATGGTGTAAATTATTCAGCGAGAGCGCTCATTGATTCTGGTTCTGAGTGTTCTTTCATAACCGAAAGACTCAAACGAAGAATCAACCTGCCATCGAAACCCTTGCATGCCCAAGTTTCGGGCATCAATAATACAATATCTGCGCAGGTAAAAGAAGCGTGTGCTATTCATTTGCGATCTCCTACGGATCCGTTAATCAATATAAACACAACCGTATTAGTTTTGCAACAATTGACAGGGGATTTGCCGACTTGCCAAGTAAGCGCCATGATGCGGCAAGCATTCCCAGACTTGATTTTGGCGGACAAGAGATTCTTCGTCAACGAGCCCGTTGACCTCGTCTTAGGCGGAGACGTCTACCCCCAAATCATTTTAAGCGGGTTAAAGAAGAACATCCTAAATACACTTCTCGCCCAAGAAACCGTGTTCGGTTGGATACTGACTGGTCAAGCGGAATCATTGAATCCAACCAATAAAATAGTATCATTTTTTAATGAAGTTACTGTGGATAAACAGTTAACGGCCTTCTGGGAGCTAGAAGATATCCCCAAGAAAAGAAGTATGAATGCCGATGACATATATTGTGAAAGGCTTTTCAAAGCAACGACAAAGCGAAATGATGATGGGAAGTACATTGTCTCCTTACCCTTCAGGCAAGATTTTCCAAATAATGTTTGTCTAGGACCATCACTAAAAAGCGCTTGCTCTCAGTTCTACCGGAACGAGATGCGACTAGCAAAAAAACCTGTTCTTCAAACAGAGTACAACCGGGTTTTATGTGAATATGAAACATTAGGCCACATGTCAAAGATTACAACTAGCGTATCACCAGAATCAACCGACTGTTATTTCCTACCACATCATGCTGTGTTAAAGGAGGAGAGTGCCACAACAAAGGTCAGAGTGGTATTTAATGCATCATGCCCAACCGCCAACGGCATGAGTTTAAATGACGTCCTCCTTCCAGGTCCTGTACTTCAGGCCGATTTAACTATCCTCATACTCCGTTGGAGACTGTTCCAATACGTCTTCAACAGCGATATAGAGAAAATGTATCGGCAAATATTTGTAAATGAGAATCAAACGAAATATCAGCGCATAGTTTTTCGCACCTGCCCAAGAGAACCAATTAGCTTATACGAAATAAAAACGGTGACTTTTGGCATAAACTGTGCTCCTTATCTCGCGATAAGGACATTGCATCAACTAGCTGATGAGGTTGAGAGCTCTTTTCCAATCGCATCCGAAATTTTGCGAAAGTGTATGTACGTGGACGACGTACTTGCTGGAGGACACAGCATCGAATCAGCGATTAAAGCTCGAGAAGAAATACTACAGGTACTGGATTCAGCAGGGTTCCCGTTAAGAAAGTGGACTTCGAACTCCAGCAAAATACTTGAAGGTGTACCGAAATCTCATTTACTCACCGAAGATTTTCTAGAGTTTGAAGATACTAGTGCGGTAAAAGCACTTGGCATCAGATGGAATGCCAAATCTGACTACTTCTATTTCACAGCAAAACCAATAGAAAATCGTGACGTCATCACCAAAAGAGCGATACTTTCAGCTATCGCCAAACTGTTTGACCCGCTCGGTTGGCTCGCTCCAGTGGTTATTGTCGCCAAGATCATTATGCAAAATATTTGGTTGGAGGGAACTGGTTGGGACGAAACCGTGACTCCGACCACATTAGATCGTTGGCAGGCATTTATGCACGACTACATGGACATTAATACCATTCGCATACCAAGATGGGTCCATTTTACGCAAACAGATGACGCCGAAATACATGGATTCAGTGACGCTTCGGAGAAAGCATACGCGGCGACTGTTTTCTTAAGAGTGAAGACTGCGGAAAGAGTTTTTGTCAGCCTTCTAATGGCAAAAACGAGGGTAGCGCCCGTCAAAACAGTATCGTTACCCCGTTTAGAACTCTGCGGCGCAGTTTTGCTTTCGGAAACCTTAGAAGCAGTCGTCGAAAATCTGAGTCTTGGACATATGAAAATAAATCTCTGGACAGATTCGACAATAGTCCTAGCATGGATCCGGAAACCACCGTGTTCGTGGTCAACTTTCGTTGCTCACCGAATAATAAAAATTGTAGACAAGGTGGGAACCGACAACTGGCGTCATGTGGATTCGGCATCAAACCCAGCAGATCTGGCCAGTAGAGGACTCTCGGCTAGTGAACTAGTCAACAACTCCTTGTGGTGGCAGGGTCCTTCTTGGTTACAAGAAGACAAGTCAAAATGGCCAGCACAAGAAGCGAACTACGACACAATCATAGAGGAAAAAAGGGTGCAAGTTCACGCAACAACTAGCACAAATAACTTTGAAATTCTCGACAGATTTTCAGATTTCTCAAGAGCTTTGAGGGTCATCTCATATATTATGAGATTCTATCAAAGAACTCACCCCAGTACAAAATCTTCCTTTAGAGCGGAGTCTTCATTAATTTCGTCGGCCGAAATTAAAACAACGACACAACGCCTAATAACCATTTATCAACAACGACACTATAGAGAAGAATATGAACAATTGAAATCAGGTAAATCCATCGAGGCGAAAAGCGAGATTTTGCCCCTTAATCCATTCATCGACAAGGATGATGTAATGAGGACTGGTGGTCGTCTTGGCGCATCCCTTGACTTGGCCTATAGTGAGCGCCATCCAATTATTCTCCCATATGATTGCAGGTTAACTCGGCTTATTGTCCAGTTCGTCCATAAAATCTCCTTACACGGGGAAAACCAACTGATGCTACGTCTTATACGTACGCAATACTGGATCCCGCGAGTAAAAAATATGATACGGTCCATCATCCACAATTGTAAAATCTGCACGATCCACAGGAAACGGTCCCAAACCCAGCTTATGGGGAATCTTCCAACTGAACGCACTACATTTTCGCGTGCGTTCACGAACACCGGTGTAGATTTCGCGGGGCCTTTTGACATTAAAACCTACCGCGGTCGAGGATGTCGTCTGTCAAAAGGCTAGGTTTGTCTCTTCGTCTGTTTTTCGACTAAGGCCATCCACCTGGAAGCCACTAGTGACCTTAGTACTGCTTCTTTCCTAGCAGCATTTGCCAGATTTATTGCTAGACGAGGGTGCCCAAAGAATATTTACTCCGACAATGGAACTAACTTTGTCGGAGCCTCTCGGTCTTTGCGATCCGAATTTAAAGCCTTCGTGGCCGACTCGCGCAATCAGGCCCTGTCTAAATACTGCCACCAAGCTCTAACGTGGCATTTTATACCCGCAGCAGCCCCTCACATGGGTGGACTGTGGGAAGCAGGGGTTAAAAGTTTTAAGAGCCACTTCAAAAAGATCGCGTCGGACCACAAATTCACTTTTGAAGAGTTTAGTACTCTTCTATGCCGGGTTGAGTCTTGTCTCAACTCGCGACCACTTAGTCCATCATCCAACGAACCATCAAACTTGGAGCCGCTTACCCCAGGACACTTCCTTATTGGTGGGCATCTACTTGCCCCACCAGAAATCGACGTAAACGAGACTCGGGCCTCTATCTTAAACCGTTGGGAAAAATTGAAAGCATTACACCAAACTTTCTGCAGAAGATGGAAATCGGAGTACCTAACCGAGATGCAGAAACGCGTCAAGTGGAAACATCCACAAGCCAATTTAAAACAAGGGGACCTAGTCGTCATTAAAGAAGAAAACCTCCCACCCAATGAATGGAGACTTGGAAGAATAGCCAAACTACACCCTGGTCCAGACAACCGAATACGTGTAGTTGACGTTGATACGGCAAAGGGCCAAACTACAAGACCAATTGCAAAGTTGGTCCTACTCCCACCCTGCAACGAGGGAGTCGAGATTCGGAACACTGAAAGTTAAGATCAGATCCCCGTTCCCCGCAATAAAAAAATCCTAATCTTAATAATCCTAATCTTGATACCATATCCCATTATGAGCTGCATTTTGCGTAGCCTTTGAAAATAATTTTGTTCGAATCAGTTTAATTCAATTTGTTTGGAAAATGCTCATTTAACAGCATTTAAGAGGTTATCAGATACCTTGTTTATACCTACACAAGAACCGCATTAACAAAAAACCGATTTGAAAACAAATTGAAGTAAATACATTTTTCAATTTCAACGCGTTTTGATTTTTAGTTTACGCATCCGTTTTGAATCACAGCGAACTGGGTCAAAACGCTTTATGTGTCGGTATAAACAAGGTAACATTTAAACAACAGAAAGTTGACGCAAATTGCCAGATATTCTCATCAATCAATGCATTATCTACAAAGGTTTTTTTGTTTTTCGTCATCGACTGCATATCAACCAAAAATATAAAACGTTGGAATATGCGTAAACGCTCTTGATCCGAATAAAAAAGAAATTTCAGTAGCTTTAGACAACCAAAAAAAAAAACTGGTAAAAGCTGTTACTATTACAATACTTTAATTTAAATTTTAAACTATATTGTGTAAAGGCGATTGACGTCATAAACACTAAGGCTGATTCGCATTATTAAATTTGAGCAAATGTTAGTGACTAAGGCAACTAAGCAATGTTTTAAATAATTCGACTCTTAATCATCCCTTAGTACGCACCCAGCAAAAATTTGAGCCATATATTAAAAGATACGCGAGTTGTTTGCATCTTAAGAAAGACTCTTTCGCATTAAGACTCGTATATAAACATGTGTATGTACATAAACATAAATATAAGCAAGTACATATGCAAGTTTTTTTTTGAAGATTTAGTGCCCACGAATCGAAGTGCATACATTCAAACATACACTTGTATATTTAATACTGCATCACATAAGTGTGTATCTGGTTTTTCACTGCCACGAAAATACTTATTTAAACAAGAGAGGTTAATATTTACTCACGTATTTGGTTACTGGCCTATGTACAAATCTCACTTAAAGTTTCATAATCTTTACAAAATATACATTTATTTCACACGTGCTAGCAAGACGACAGAGTTTTCAAGCCACTTATGTATTCGCTGGAAATTTAAAACCGAAGTGACTCCGGCGGGAGTATGTTTAATCTGTATTATATTCGAAAGTTGGGTTGCATTGGCAAATGTCTGAACTATGTATTCCCAATTACCGACTATCTCCACCATCATTATTTTTTTTTTTTTCCAGGAACCAGTTTCATTTCTCAATGGCATTCCTAAGTTTTGTGTACATTTTTTATGCTAGGGCTGAGTAATGCATGCGTTTGTAAGGGTTTAAAATGTTCAAAGTGTCAGCGTACAACAAAGAAACTCAAAGCTTATTGGTGGAACAAACATACTATGTGGCACTAACATTATCCAAGTAGTCAATACGCTCTACACCCACTCATTGCAGCTCAAACTTATTACACCTTAACAAACGCTTTTGTCTTTCAAAAGAAGGAAAAAACTTACGTGCAACGATTAGTCCAATTGGATGGTAGAAAATCTAAGCGCCAGGAACGTCGTAGGTTAGGGATACAGTAGCCAGACCTTTGGAAGTCATGGCAAGATTGTGGATGATGAGAGGTTGGGTTCGTGTTTGTAGAGGCACCCAGTAACGAGCAACCAATCCTCTGTAGAACTTGTTCACACTTATGCGAATTGCTCTATATGCTTCGAGCGCTGCTACGACGTTGCCGTGAACATTGGTTGCTGGGCCGCTTACATACACAGTGGAAGTTTTGTCTGCAGACGTACGGCAGTATGGTGGCTACATAATGTTGAAGCCGATGGCAAGCATTTGTAATATAAATTAGCTGAGGCGGCCTGCATCTTTTGGTAGATATGCGGAATGTATTATGCTATTGGATGTCTAGATGCCACGATGCAAACCGACGTAATTTAATCAAAGAATTCAAATTTTTCTTTGCACATTGATTTGCTGCATAGTTGCATTATTCGTTGAAAGCGTTATGCCCGCCTTTCTGTGGCATTCAACCATTTAGTGCTTCAGCAATGGGATAACCAATCAACTGGCTCAACTTGGAAGTTATCCCAGGATCTGAAAGGAAAAGCAATAATTAATGAATAAAATAATACTAAAATGTCACTACTTACCCCGTTCCTGGCCTCGTGTTCATTGTGGAAATGATTAACGTCGGCCACAATTAACTTCAATGAAATGTCAACAAAGAACGTAAATTGTAGTTTACGCTCTTTGATAACAGCACCGTCGCCCTCTACCGGGCATGAGGTTGGAACGTGACCATTCAATTAAACACAATTCTTTCTGAATCGGTTTAGTAAAGTTTCGCACCATGATGAAAAATAATGGGATTTTTTTTTCTTTTGGGTAGGAGGCTAAGGTGCTTAATAACAAAACACCACAATAATGTTTTCACCCATTTTCTACGATATTGGCGAATGATTCTGTCAGTATACACTGCGTGGCATTGAATTAGCCCCGAACTACTTACACACTGCGTGGCATTGAATTAGCCCCGAATGAATTAGGAAATTTAAAATGATTAAATTTATGGAAACTCACGAAATAAGATAATATTCATGTCTCCCCATACATATAGATACATATATTCTCGTCTATTTTTTTTTTCTTGCGTGCGAGCGCCTTAAATTCCAAAGGCGCCAGCGCGTAAATATAACTCGGAACGTCGCTCAATATCACGAGCGCCACTTAGAAAAATCCTGAATAGCATTACAGTAATGCTACGGCCACACCAGGCACTTCATAGGGAATTTATAATGCTGGAGTTAAACGCATGTTAATATTTTATGTAACATTTCTATACATATGTACGATAACAAATGCAAGAATACACGCCACTTGCCACCCAACCATAAGAAATTCAAAGCCAAATAGAATTTTGGTCAACCAAATACTACAAATTGCAGAATGACCCGATTCTCAGCACTGCGCTCTAAAACTGAGAGGAGCTCGGAGGAGTTTCCAATCGCCTGCCGCTTGTGCGACAAAGACCACGGTATAAGACTTTGCCCCATCTACCGCGGTAAGACGGCAGAAGAACGACTGCGAGCGGTCCTCATACACCGCTACTGCCCGAACTGCCTCTCGCCATTTCATCGTCTGGAAAATTGTGCTAGCGCCGACAGATGTCACAGATGCCGTGAGAAGCATCATACTTCGCTCCATATCGAGACCAACGATAATTGGAGGCAGCCAGCACGCAATATAGAGGATGATGACAACAGTTCACAGGGTGCGTTATCCATCCACATAGGAGAACCGTATAAGTCATGGGCTCAGCAGGTCGAGGAGGCAGAGATGGACGAAGCTACGACTGAGGTCGCTCCTGTGGAAGTAAGTGGCGGCTCGGAAACCCGTTCATTCCGACCACCACTCGAACATGAGAAGCGAAGGGAGAGCAGCTCTGCAACTGGGTCCTTCAAACAGCCTGCCCAGTCCCAATCACAGCATCCGGGTGGCTCGGAAACTAGTTCTTTCCGACCGCCCCCATATCCCAACGGTAAGAGTCGTGATGGCGCGGGAACTGGTCCTTTCCGCTTGTCTCGACGTAAGACTGTTGGGAAAGCACCATATCGCCGACCACAAGAGCAGAACAGAGAGCAGAATGCGGCTCTGGCCGTTCGACGACTGGGGTTTCGAACAGGTCGCATACACAACAACACGATGGCTAAACCGATCTTACGCTCTTTTCAGCCGATTTCACCGACCGCCATCGTTCGAATCGAGTCTGGTGGCCGCCTGCACCTGGTCCGCGCAATAATTGACCCCTGCGCGCCCTGCACGGTAATCGACGCTAGTCTGGCGCGGGACCTACAATTGGAACACGGAGGTTCTGGACGAAACCGGAGATGCTCGCTCGCACTTAGAGGAAAATACGGTGTCGCGGAACGCGTAACAACTCAGGCGACAATCATGGCACAACACAACCGATTGAGCCCGACAACGGACATCGACCCCGCGGCTGCCGCGGCATTTCAGTTTATGCGGTTGGCCGATCCAAATTTTTACCGGGCTACCCCGATCCGTCTGACTCTAGGCGTCGATGTATACGCCCAGGTCATGCTAACAGGGACCCCCCCATCTTCGGTCTGTGGCTTATTGGCGCAGGCAACCACATTTGGGTTAATGGTTTCCGGAGCTTACCAAAAATAAAAATAAATTAGATTGCTTAGTTGGTTAATACACGCAATAAAGTGCATTGAAAATCAAAACCACGTCCATTTTTTCTTTCAACTCTCTCTTTAATTTCCCAATAGCTATCTAGGAAGAGGCGGTGCAACCTGGGTGTGACGAGCGAGAACTAAGTACAACCTAGAGCACTTCCAGTCTCTAGTGGTTACCGTCAAACTTATTACCTTTTCTGACGTGGCATGGTGGGTACCTTCCGTATTCCGTTTTCATA